GTGAAAGGATGTGTAACATACAGCTCGGTCAAAACATCCCTGACCAGCCTGTAAAAAAATATTGATTTTTAACTAATTTTTTTAGCCATCTCCGCCCACATCAAGACCTCGGCCAATCATGATTTGGGCCATCTCCGCCTACAGGACAACATGTTCTGCAGAGACCCCCCTTCTCGACTGACCTGGGACACGGAGGACAGAGTGGGACAGTTTGGGGTCCCCCTTCTGGACTCCTCCCAGCCACCACAGCACCTCCACAGGTTCTGGTGGGCCGACGGCAGAGCAGGACAGGTTGAAGGGAGTGTTGGGGAACACGGCCACATCCTGAGGCTCCTCGGTGAAGTGAGGAACACCTGAGAGACAAAACCAGCAGGTGAGGAACCAGAAACAGGAAGTGAGTCATCGTGGTACGTTCAGGGTCCAACCTTCAACTGTGACCCAGGCCCGGTCCGAGGAGAACGTCTGACCCTGGTGTTCCACCTCACACCAGTACTGACCGGCGTCCTGCTGCTGGACCGACTTTACACTGAAACCACAAAACAGAACCTCTGTGACTGTCCCACACCTGTCTCACACCTGTCTCACTAAAAACACCTGTCTCACACCTGTCTCACTAAAAACACCTGTCTCACATCTGTCTCACTAAAAACACGCCTGTCTCACTCCTGTCTCACTCAAAACACACCTGTCTCACTGAAAACACACCTGTCTGACTGAAAACACACGTCTCACTCCTGTCTCACACCTGTCTCACTCCTGTCTCACTGAAAACACCTGTCTCACTAAAAACACACCTGTCTGACTGAAAACACACCTGTCTGACTGAAAACACACCTGTCTGACTGAAAACACACCTGTCTGACACCTGTCTCACTCCTGTCTCACTAAAAACACACCTGTCTGACTGAAAACACATCTGTCTCACTCCTGTCTCACACCTGTCTCACTGAAAACACACCTGTCTCATGCCTGTCTCACTGAAAACACACCTGTCTCATGCCTGTCTCACTGAAAACACACCTGTCTCACTAAAAACACACCTGTCTCACTGAAAACACACCTGTCTCACTGAAAACACACCTGTCTCACTCCTGTCTCACACCTGTCTCACTGAAAACACACCTGTCTGACTGAAAACACACCTGTCCCACTCCTGTCTCACACCTGTCTGACTGAAAACACACCTGTCTCACTCCTGTCTCACACCTGTCTCACTGAAAACACACCTGTTTCACTGAAAACACACATCTCATTCCTGTCTCACACCTGTCTCACTAAAAACACACGTGTCTCACTCCTCTCTCACACCCGTCTCACTCCTGTCTCACTAAAAACACACCCGTCTGACTTAAAACACACCTGTCTCACACCTGTCTCACTGAAAACACACCTGTCTCAC